AATTCTGCGTGAATTTATAAGTTGAAGTTAAACCGAGATGACATTTAACACTTGTTGAAATTCTGTGTGAATTTACAAGTTGAAGTTAAACCGAAATCATATTTAACACTTGTTGAAATTCTGTGTGAATTTACAAGTTGAAGTTAAACCGATGTGATATTTAACACTTGTTGAAATTCTGTGTGAATTTACAAGTTGAAGTTAAACAAGTTGAAATTAAACCGAGATGACGCTTAACACTTGTTGAAATTCTGTGTTAATTTACCAGTTGAAGTTAAACCGATGTGATATTTAACACTTGTTGAAATTCTGTGTGAATTTAAAAGTTGAAGTTAAACCGAGATGATATTTAACACTTGTTAAAATTCTGTGTGAATTTACAAGTTGAAGTTAAACCGACGTCATATTTAACACTTGTTGAAATTCTGTGTGAATTTACAAGTTGAAGTTAAATCGATGTGATATTTAACACTTGTTGAAATTCTGTGTGAATTTACAAGTTAAAGTTAAAGTTAAACCGAGGTCGTATCGGAAGAAGATTGGTTTTAACACTTGTTGAAATTCTGTGTGAATTTACAAGTTATAGTTAAACCGAGGTCGTATCGAAAGGAAGATGGTTTACCACTTGTTGAAATTTTGAGAAAAATTTACAAGCTGAAGTTAAGCCGAGAATATGATAAAGGATGATGGTTAAAACACTTGTTGAAATTTTTGAGAAAAAATTACAAGTTAAAGTCAAGCTTAAGCAATATCTACGTACTTACCGAGACTACTAGGTTGTCAAAACTTGAAATATGGAAAACTGAAGTTTTGATAGAAGACATTGAGAAAGTGACAAGTCCTAAGCAACACTTGTGAAAATATTTGTTACAATATTTTCAAGTGTTCGGACAAGACCGAGATGGGCAAGATTAGAAGTTGTAACAGAGGTATTTTACCCGAAGAGATTGCATAGTCAAGGTGTACTTTGAAGACATGCAAATTATTCTAAGTGTAGAATCATACAAGAGCAGAAAAAAGAAGACATTCATTCAAAGAAGAAATTAGAGAAATGCATTTAAAGAAGAAAGAAGGCACTTCGGCCTGAATATTGAAAAATAAATTATTTAGACTACAAAAATGGCACGTCGGCCGGATTAAAAACATACAAAGAAGGACAAAGTACAAGGTACAAGGTACAAGGTACAAGGAGTAAAAGAAGGAAACAAAACTACTCGACATCAATGGCAGGATATAGAAGACAGTTGGGAAGACTTCTCAGCAGCCTTCTCGACCTCGAGCTCAGCATCGATCTCCCGAAGAGTTTGATCAAAGCTCTTCTCGACGATTGGCACCTCGGAGTTTGAAGGCAAGGATTGAAAGCAAGAATCTGGAAAAAGACACAGAAAACAAAAACAAGAATGTAATTCGTAATCAAGAATGGTGATGAAGCTATTAGAAAATCAAGACAAAAAGATTGCACAAGTGTGTCAAGCCAAGAACAGTGGCAGAAATCAACAGATGTGTGAATAGTGTGTATTCAAGAAGATGATTTGGAAACAACAGGTAAAACAGCAATGGTGATTAACAATGAAGCAGAGCTTCTTGGAAAGTAACAAGAAATAAAACCAGGAGGAACAGTGGCTTACCAGAAAGAGGGAAGCCGGAATGAGAATTGCCGAAGTCTGACGACGGATGCGAAAATGACAGAATGACGTAAGCTTCACCGGAGGAGAGGAATGAAAACAGTTGCAGAGCTTGAAAGCTTGGAACAATGACGGATTTAAGCAAAAGAGCTAGAAAGAGAAAAAGGCAGAGGATTGAATAAAAAAAGAGAAAAATCAGAGTCAAGAAGACGATAAAGTTCAAGAATAAAGCCAAGTGCACAGGTACTAAGTAAGTATGTGAAGAACAAGAAAGTAATGACTCAGACACGATGCTAGCAACAGAAAGCGGATATGGCAAGAACAGTGCCAGGCGTTCAAACAATTCAAAACTTAAAAACAAACGAAAATAGAAGACAACAGAGGGCAAGTAAACGGATTCAGAAGAGTTATGAAAGATTGAGCTTAATAAAAGAGTTTATGAACCTACCAATAGAAATGAACGCCGATATGAAGATCGCTAGAGTCAAATAGATGACTGGGAGTCGGGAACCCACCGAAGAATGTGAGTGGAGCAGTTGCAAAACTCTTGGAGTTTACGAATTAATGGAACAAGAACCTCGGCTAAGAGGTGTGATCTCGAGCAGCTTGGAAAGCATGAAACTTGATACTTGACAGAAGTGGACAATAAAGTCCAAGGAACTTTGAGGTCGGCGAGTTTGATCTCGGACAGAGGGGCACAGATGAACGAACAGTATAGGTTTCATCACCTCAGAATGCCGAGGTAATAGAACCTAGGGGGCAATTGTGGGGATATATTTTCTGAGTACCAACACGTGGCCAAGGTGACGCCGACGTGTCAACCGAGGTGCCACGTGTCCTGATTGTTATGCCGAGGTTATCTCGGATAGGCCAAGGTTACCTCCGAAGATATCGGAATCTGAGATAAGCGAATGAGGGGCAAGACTCCTAGAATGAGAGAAGACTTCAGTTTGTATTAAGATAAGACTCTTAGAGAGTTTATCCTAAACTTACTGAGAGTCCAAGATTAGCAGTAATCCTGAGTCCATAGAAATTAGGTGTCTATTGGGACTAGGTTTATGTTGGCTATAAAAGAGAGGCACCCCCATGGGTCTAAGGTATGCTTTTGATACTCAAGTTTATAAGTTTAGCACTTGATTTATCTTTGAGAGATATACTGACTTGATCGTCGGAGTGCCTCCGGGTGGACGAACCACTGCCGGAATCTTCTCTTTCTGTTGCAGGTCAGCCAAGTGCCATCTATTCTGCCCGTGCTCTCCAGCTGGTTACTAAGCGGGCAGTATGGTCAAAAAATCACTCACACAAGGTCACTTTAATTCCTTTCTTTTTACTTAGAGATTGTATTTACCACATTGCACTTTTATTCTCATTCAGTTTCAATTACGAAAGTCAATATTTTATTTTATTTTATTTTATTTTTTATATTTTAAGTTACAATATGGCTTCTTTTGGAAAGCATATTAAAAGTTGATTTTTTGGCATTTTTTGATTTTTTTTTTAAAACGTGTAAAAAAATAGAGAAGTGATGTGATTAAAAAAAATTAAAAAAACCAATAAGTTGGCTTTTAACCTACATGCCAAAAGAGGCCTTTGTCTGTTTATTGTTAGTGGGGTTAACAGAACTCGTTTAGGGATTAAACATTTTAGTCAAAAAGTTACTATAAGTTGTCACATTTTCTGCATACTTTTTTGTAAAAAGTCAAAAAATTACTAAAATAACATGTTCCCAAAATAAACGAACCAAAGTGAAATTTTAGTGAGAGTGAGCTTTTGATGAAAGTACAAGGATGGTAATGAAATTAAAAAGGAAAAAAAAAGGAGAAAAAAACGTCACATTTAAAGTTTCATCAACATTATTAAGCTTTTGTTTGAGATGTGGGTTGACTTTTTGACTATTTTAATCTAGAGCTAAAAAGTTTCATGTGAGATAGGCTTTTTGGTTTTTTTTTGACTTTTGTGAGAGAAAAAATAAAATAATTATAATTTGGATGTGACATTTTATCTTATTGACTTTTTAATCTATTTTGTCTTTTTGTAAATAAGTAGCTTCAAACCAACATGCCAAACATAGCCTAATGGTGTATAAATGGAAGTTGATATTGCGACTTAACTTAAAGTATAAGGAATTAACTATCACAATTAAGAGTGAATAGATAAAAATGAGATTACAGTGATAATGTATGAGTGCTAAATGTAATTAATATATTTATTTATTTTTATGAATATATCATTTATAAAAAAAATTATATTGATTCAATAATCTTAAATAATTTTATTAGATTTTTTTTATAAAAAAATAGATAATAAATACAAATTTACAAAAATCAAATTTTTTATTTTATTTTAAAGATAAACAATTTAGATTATTGAACCCATGTGGGCTCAATTGTGCAATACAATTCACTTATATTGGGATATCATTGCGCATGAAAAAGCCCTATGGGATGAATTTTTGTGTGGATCGTCACATTTTAAAGTTCGACTCATTAAAAATTTATTTAAAATTAATAAATTAATTTATTACGTAAACAAGTTAAATTTAATTTATTGATTATTAAATTAACAAATTAATTTGTTAAGTAAATAAGTCAAATTTAATTTATTAATTATTAAATTAATATTGAATATTTTACCTTATTCAAGATCGCTATGTTATCGATTCTATTAGATTGTTGAGATCAGTATGATTAATAAATAGGTAAATAAATTAAATTTAAACATATTTTAAAGATAATTGAGTTTTGAAATTTATATCAAATAATCTACTATTTGATTCGACAAGAAGAAACCCATTTTATTACCCTAATTATAATGCACTGATATTATCAATTATTATAAGGAAAATTAAATCACACAATATTAAAAACTACGTCACATAGTAATGGGAAAAGGTGCACACTATGAATCTGCTTTAGAGTAGAGAGCTAGTAGAAGAAGATGAGAGAGCGAAATGAAAAGACAGACTTTTTGGAAAAAGAGAAAACACACACACTACCAAACCCTAAAAAACTGCTCACTAGCTATGAACCACGGGTGGAGGTGCGGGTGTGGATACAAATATGGATACCAATATGTTGATACCGTAAATTTTTAAAAAAGTAAGGTACAAGTATAATTGAGGTATGTCAATTTTTTTTTAATTTTTTTTTTTGTATTTAAATTTATAACTAAATATCTAACATATAAATTAAAGTTTTAATATCAAAATTAAAAAAAAGAGAATAACTTGTTTAAAAAGTTGTATAATTCTTTCTTTTTGTTTTTTGATTATCTAAAAAAAGATGCAAAAAAGAATAAAATTGTGACTCATAGGTAAAGAGCGTTGGAAATAAATTACTTGACATTTTTAAAATTGAAAAAAAAATAAATGCCACAACAAATTTTAACAGCTGTCAAAAAAAGAATAATAATTTCACCTCGCTGTATTGATGTCGTATATCCATGTCATATCCACGACGTATCTAAATATATTGAGAAAAATTTAGGATTATAAAAAAACTTTCATGAAAATGATCATGAAAAATTTATGACCCTTGGATTAGCTTGATTAGTGTGTGGTGCTTTATTTTAAGTGTAATCCAAAGATTATGAATCTTTCATGATTATTTTCATGAAAAAATTTTCATGATACCTAGCATTACTCAAATATATTTGCCGTACTAAATATGTATTGAACGTACCCAATACACACTCGTATAACACTATTTTTATAGTGCGCGTGATTCAAAGCTGACAAGTTGACACTATTGTCTCATTCTCACATCTAACTGAAACTGAAACTGAAACATTAATTTAAACTCTCTCTCTCTCTCCCTCTCTCTAGATTCATCTTCTTCTTGCTGCAGTTTCTCTCTGTGCATTGAAATAAACTGCAGCAACCGGAAGTCCCAGACCATTCTCTTCAGAGAAGCTCCTTGTGTTGAAATTGTCTCTTGAAGCAGGTGGCCTCACTGTCTGTCTTGCTCTCTGTTTGAACAGTATGAATGCGTATCGGTGGATTCCGATCACTGGCTTTGGAGTCTCATAGCTCACAATTTCTCTTCCTGTGATTCAATTAAGATCCATATCAAGTGACCATTATTTCAATCCCAATAGTAGATTAAACTGTTAAAGAAATGGATCCAACAATATATCTATCTATCAAGCTAAAATTACCAAAAGATAAACAAAATAAGAGAATAAGATGCACGAAGACAGATAAAACACAATACACACAAAAATTTGAATCTTGGATCTCTCGAATCAGAGAACTCTGTTATCATATTAGATTACTAATTAACCCGCAAGGGTAGCCCAGTTGGTTGAGGCCAAGGGACTTGGGGCCTAGGAGTTTGCTCCTCTCTAGGTCTCAGGTTCGAATCCCACTCCCAGCTGTGCTCCTGGCGGGCCACTGCGTCTTTGCCTGGTCGATCGGCTCAGGGCCCCGAGATTAGTCGAGGTGCGACACTCCGAAGGAGTGCTGGCCCGGACACTCGGTCATCAAAAAAAATATTAGATTACTAATTGTCTCAAAACTTAAGCGGTTGGAAAATGAGTCCAATTATATTATATTAAACTAACAAAACAAAATAAGAGAATAAGATGTACAAAGACAGGTAGAACAAAATGCATGGTGACAAATATTTGAATCTTGAATCTCTTGAATCAGAAAGTTCTGTTATCATATTAGATTACTAATTCAAAGCTTCAGCGGTTAGAGAATGAGTCCAACTATGTATATTAAATTAACAAAATTGATTTAATAAGAATAACATGTAGACATTGATACAATTGAGGAAGAACCCACCAAAGGAAGCATCAGTGGTACCAGGGATGTCTGTGACAATCCTGAAAGGCAAAAAGGCAATGAAAAAAAGCATTAGATTCAATACAATGGAATATAAATATATATATATATATATATATTATGTATATATGTGATTTGGGTATGCAAATGAAACAAACCAGTGGAGATGTTCCCTTAGGTAAGGATCACTAGGGCTTGGAGCATCTGGGTCTGTCATAATCTTAAATGGCACGTCACGAAAACAAAATCTTAGAGAGATAAAAACAAATGAATAATTATTCAATAGTTTCGAAATATCAACTCAACACTTGATATGATACTTTTAAACCAATGAAAGCACTAGTAAAAAAAATAAATAAATTATAAATACATCTTTTGAGATTTGACTAAAATACGAATCGCTATCTACGGTTCTCTGGAAATTACATCATATCCTTTGAGATTTCTAATTTCATAACAAATCTCTTTTTTATTAATTAATTATCAAGTCAATTAATAATTTTTAATGTTATTAGAAATATATTTCAATCAATAATTTTAGATAATTTTATTCATGTATAAGAGAGCAATTATAAATTTTATTTTTTTAGTTAATTCTGTTAAATAAAAAATTTTAATAAGAAAGTATTTGTAATTTTTTAAATCATATAGACAATCTGTACTTTAAGCAAATCTCAAGAGTATATTTATAATTTATCAAAAAAAAAAAACATGAGTGGAGTTGACCTGATCTCAGTTGTGTGAATTACAAGATCGACTCCATCCATCTTTTTTCCTACGGCCTGATTGATCAAAAGTATCATGTGCACATGTCGAGAGAGAGATGGAGAGAGTGTGAGGAATGTTGGAAGTTGTAAGAGAAAAATACCAGTGTAAAAGCAGTCCTCATGTCTTCACCACCGATCTCGACATGAGGTCTAGTAGCAATGACAGAAGGCATGAGCTCATGGCCATTGGAAACTTGCTTGTTGGAGTTGTAAATTACACTCATTTTCACACAAGGGTTGAAACTATCCACCACCTCTCCCACCACTCTCCCCACCGTCAGTGGTTCTGTGAGCCTTGACATGATGAGAGAGAGAGAGAGAGAGAGAGAGAGAGAGAGAGAGAGAGAGAGATGGTTTGTAGTTTGTTTAGGTTAGGTGTAATGGCAATGGGTGTTGGAGCTTTTATAGACAGAAGAAGCAAAAGGTACGTGGAGTGGAAAATAACACTTCAACATATGCCTTAAAACTGATATTATGTTAAACACATATTGATATTCAGGATAAAAAATTAGGTCAAAATTTTAATCAATTAAGATATTAAAGATAACATTCTTTTTCAAATTTTCTTTAATTATCAATCAAACATATCACTTATATATTAGTAAGTCTAAAAAATGAATCTAAAATGTGGACTAGTATATCATTTTTTTATGATAATTAAAAAAATTATGTTATCCATATAAAAAAACTAAAAACATGTTTAAAAGTTCTCAAACTAAGTGGTTTTTAAAAAGAGAAATCATTGTGTTTTTTTATCACTATTTTGTATTGTTGTTTATGTGGATATTTATGATAAATTTATTTTATCAATGAAAACAAATAATAATTACTATATATCTGGTGATATACAACAATAAAAAAAATAAATGACATATAATAGTATTTTTTTAAAAAAAATAAAAATATTATACAAATTAATTATTAATAGAGACATTACATATCATCAGTTTTTGTCACTATTTTATTTCATCTTATACATGGATAGTCATGATTTGGTTACTTACTGAGAAATAATCATTAAATAAAGAGGATTGTTATAGTTTTTTTTTTTTATAAGTTTGGGCGCCCTTCGACTAATTCTGAGACTCTAAAATTAATGGCTGGACAAACCTTCAATAACTCTTTGAGGTGACTCAAATTTAAAAATTTAGATTTTATTATCAAAGTTTTACAGCCCAGTCAACTCCTTGAAATTAAAAGAGGATTGCTACATAATCGAGCAAAATTTATCAAAGCTTTTCACCTCTTACACGATATGCCATAATGTCATGATGGATCTATAATTTATTAAAAGGGAATGGTTTCTGTCAAGTTTTTAATCGGATTGGACAGTGCTGTTGGGTCCATGGAGGCCCACCATGGGTCCCGTTTTGATAATCTGAACCATTCAATGTGTAGAATTTGTCGAGTACTATATGCTTGTAAAAAATCACATTGATCGGATATCAATAGCTATGTGATCAAAACAGATTTTTGTCAACCGTTAATTTATTCACCGTCCATTTTTTTTTATTTATAAAAGCCTGATTTGATCACATAGCTATCGATATCCGATTAACGTAATTTTTTACAGGCATATAATACTCGACGAGTTCTACACATTGAACGGTTCAGATTATCAAAACGGGACCCGTGGTAGGCCCCCACGGGCCCAACAATCAGACTGGACAGAAGTCATGCCCTAAAATATGAGGAGCCTTACATATACACCTACACATATAGTTTGTTGCATGGATACGTAGGAGGGGAAATAAAACATTCAAGTAAATCAGGTGATAAATATTATCTTTTAAAAAAAAAATACGGAAAACAAATAATATCTTATCATGTATTCTAATGATATAAAATATTAAAATAATTGGTAATATATGACAGTTCTCTTACAAATATTATATTTTTTTTACTCACTATTGTAACATACAACAATGAAAGTTTAGAATTTGAAACAAGTTGAATTGCAATAATGTAATAAGTGTCATATGAGTGAGTAAGAAATATTTTAATTTATATTGCATTACTTAAAAAATGGGGCAAATTATATCTATGGTTCTTATAGTTTGATTCTTTTTTTTTATTGGTAAAATAAACTTTATTGATTCGGAATTAAGGTATAAATCTCACATCGTATTTCAATAAAAAAAAAAAAAACCCCTAGTAAGTGCTATAAGTATCAAAGCTACACACCTTATCCCCAACTAGGTTGACACACAGCATAAAACCCAATCTTTGATTCTTGTGTCAATTTGATCATTGTAATTCTAATTTTATCAATTTTACCTTTAAAATTTTCATATTGTATCAATCTAGTCTCATTATTAACATTCCTTCAAAAATTAGACTAAAATTAAGGGGTAAAATAGTCTATTCACCTTTCTCAAAGGAATTGAGAGATAATCAATTCATTTCCTATTAAATGGGCCATTTCCCCATGTGTCTATCTAATTTATTAACAAATGTTATATGCTAAATTAAGTTGACAGGATGTAAAAAATTCGATACAATTGAAAGTATAAATGTCAAATTAACACCATCAATAAAATTTGTCGATAAAGAAGAGAAGCCGCTAGCGAGAGAGGTCGGTTGCCAAGTTTCCCTTATGTTGTGTTTGGTTGGAGAGGATTTAGGAAGGGATTTGGAAAGGGAAAGGAAAAAGATGTGTGAAACTATGTGAAATTTAGGCATATTTTATTCTCATTTCACCTACCTTTTCCATTTCCCTTTCCAAATCCCTCCTCAAATCCACCAACCAAACACAGCATTAAGATATCCCTTAACATATCTTTTAGTGTAGAATCATGTGTCTAATGCTAATTGGCCTAATGAGAATGAAGAATACAACTTTTCAACTTTAGCACAATATCTTTGGGCAAATGGGAATTCATCTTTTAAGGTGCTTCTCTCAATACACATGAATTTAAAGATTAAAAAAAAAAAAAAACTTATCAACAAGCTTGGGAACATGTACTTAATTCAATCAAGCGAGCAAAAAAGATATTACAGCTGTGTTATCTTATTCAAGATGCTTGACTTAAAATGCTTTGATTATGCCTAAAATATAAATTATTGATGCATTTTTAATTGTTGGACCATGTGGTTATCAATATAAAATAAATAAAATTTTCCTCTTATGGAAATTGGGGACTTTATGTATTACTATACACTATATATGGTTGAAGTTTGAACTAATTAAACAAAGTGGACATATGCCTTCAACAACATCCGTTAAATTGTGGGCCGGCACCAATTGGTGCTTCTCTCTATTTTTCTCCTTCCTTCCCTCATCACATCAACCATGAAAAAATTGTTGTATTAAATTATTAACTGTTAACTCATATAAAAGTTTAAATGCTTAAATAGAGAGAAAATTTACTATTTATATGTAATAACTTAAACATGTCCTCTTACATGTGACCAGACTCTCCTCTATAAGTGAGTCAAACATGTTTTAATTATGTGGTAGGCAGCTGTTAAAGAGAGTGACAACTTTATTAGTTATATTATATCTTCAAACATCTTTTTGGATCATTAATTTGTTGATAGGAAAGAAAAGAAAAGAAAAAAATGAAGAAAGAGAAAATACGAAAAGAAAATGAAATAAAATAATCTATTTTTTTTCTTCTCATTTTTGGTTTAGTTAGGAAAATGAAAAGGATTACTATATATCACCTTTTTTTTTCCAATCGTTTTATATTATTGGTGTACTTGGCAAAATATTATTGATTTTTCATTAATTTTTTAATAATTGTCTTCAAATAAAGAATTCAATCATGAGCATCTATATAAATAGTGATGTAAAACGGTGATTAAAAAAAAACAAGTAATATATATAATTTGTAAATAAAAAAATGTATATATATATATATCAATCAAATGAAATCTATTTTTTTTGTTGTCTAATTATGCATAAATATGTATAACTAATTTGATTTCAATAATATGTTTTTATTGACAAATTTAAAATTCAAACATAATTTTAGAGAAAGGAGTCTGCCACTTTTACGCAAGAGGATTATAAAGAATTCAATCATGAGCACACTGCTGGAAAATTCACTTTTAGCGGCGTTTAAAAAACGCCGCTAAAAGTACTAAAAACGTCGCCAATTCTTTTTATGACGTTTAGTACCAAACGCCGATGACGCGACCGTCGCTATAACTTTATGACGTTTGAAAAACGTCGTTATATTAGTATAAGCGGCGTTTTTAAAACGCCGCCAAATGTCTTACCTAGCTGTACTATGACGTCACTATGACATTTAGCGACGTTTTTGAAAACGCCGTCATAGACATTTATACATTTTTAAAATCTAGCCATTGAGGTGGGATATAGTGACGTTTTTTAAACGCCGCCATAGTCTTTTTTTTAATTTTTTAATTTTTTAATTTTTTAATTTTTTAATTTTGAACAAAAAAAAATACCTGTCAAACTAATAATTGATGTTTATTAAAATAATAAATAAACTAAGCTTGAAAACAAGATTAAAAATAAAAAACAATACATTGCATACCTAAGAATAGCAACAATTTAGACTTTAAATACATCAATTAAAATCAAAATGGTCAAGAAGTGTAATTTGCCCAAAAAAATTAAAAAGGAATAAAAAGCACACTAATATGGCTTATAATATTAAAAACATCGGAAATTAGATAATCATTTAGCTCTTCACTTGCATCATTCAGCAAAACATCAGCTATATCTTTTGCAACTTCTGATCTGCCTCTGTTCTTCCTTTTCGCTTTGATGATTTTATGTACTAATTCAACCATTTTCTTCTTTGCCTGAAACAACCCATCAAAATATTTTCCATCAAAACAAATGGGGCAAAGTTTACTCGAGACAGAACAAATGGGAAACTCTAAATGTATATGGCATACAATTATTATTATTTTTTTAATATTTAGGACATACTAAAGTGAACTGGGATTAAAATTTACACCTACCACTCTCTTGGCAGAGGCAAAGTTAATAGGTGATTGTGTTTGACATGTGGTGAATGCCTCATTAAGTTTCTATGACATATCACCCTCTATTCTGTATTAACTGAGTTTTTTTTTGACAATCAACACAAGGGGAATAGGGGAAGCAAAGCTGCACTCGTGGCAGTAAGACTTAAACCCAAACATTACACCTACTAAGGGAGTGCCTCATCCATTAGGCCAACCCCTTCGTCCTTAGCTTAACTGGTTATTTACACTCTGGCAAAATACAAATCTTTCAGCTTTTTGGAAGTCCAATTACCTTTTAAATTTGAAGCTGTGAATAATAAACAATTAAAAATAATAGCATAGGAAGACAATTCAAGACCCATGTCACAGAGAGAGAGAGAGAGAGAGAGAGCTGAAAATTTTAAGCCACATACCTTCAAAGAGCAGCACATAATAGCATCTGTGTGATGCCAAAGGGTTTTGAGGGTGGTTTCACTTCCTTCACTGCCAGACTTGAGAAGCTCTACTCCCAAATAACACCTGTCAAGAAAGAAAGAACACACCAAGGACCAGTGAGAGCAAAAAAATTTATTTTAAGCCCCCAAAAAGACCAATTGCTACACTTCGGGACAACGGAATTCAAAAACTAGATTTTTAAAACTCCTCTTGATTTGACCTATTAAATAGAGTATGCAAAGTTCAGAAATTTTGTGTTCATTAGCATCCATCCACGAAGGCCGATCCTTAAGGATTTCTGCAACCTGGAAGTAGTGAAGCATAACCCATAAATGCTTCACATAAACTCCACAACTACTACAAAAAAGAAGAAAGAAAGGGGAGACTATCGTACCCTTGTAGGCTCTAAACCCACCAGGCTGCAAGCACGTGCTGCCACACCAGTGCAACCATGAGAAATAGCAACGATTCCAATGGAATCCAGACCAGGCTAAGCATAAAAGAAAGCAGTTAGTTCAGAAAGAGACCGATCATCAACTCGGTTTTTAACATAACAAATGAAACAAATACTATAATTAATCGGATCATGTCCCGCATGTATCATAACATTCAGTAAACTTTTATAATTCATTAGTTTAAGAGCCGCATAAATTATGTCACCATAAGCACAGCACAACACAGTTTGATAAGAAGCAATACATCGACACTGACACTACATAGCCACTCATACGTAATAGCATAGCTTGCTACAAAAAGCTTAACAAGCCATCTGTCATCGCATGAACAAAAGAAAAAACTAGCAAAATAAATTTCAAGCCCACTAAAAGAAAAGATCACACATTTCTGAAGTGTACCAGCAGGTTCTACAGACATCTACTGCAATTAAATAGACAACACCTTTTGAACACTAGTTACCTCACTTAAGGTCTTAACAGATATATTTATTTACATACATCAAAGATCAAAGATTGGCTTTTGAACACTAGTTACCTCAATTAAATAGACAACACCTTTTGAACACTAGTTACCTCACTTAAGGTCTTAACAGATATATTTATTTACATACATCAAAGATCAAAGATTGGCTTTTGAACACTAGTTACCTCAATTAAATAGACAACACCTTTTGAACACTAGTTACCTCACTTAAGGTCTTAACAGATATATTTATTTACATACATCAAAGATCAAAGATTGGCTTTTGAACACTAGTTACCTCAATTAAATAGACAACACCTTTTGAACACTAGTTACCTCACTTAAGGTCTTAACAGATATATTTATTTACATACATCAAAGATCAAAGATTGGCTTTTGAACACTAGTTACCTCAATTAAATAGACAACACCTTTTGAACACTAGTTACCTCACTTAAGGTCTTAACAGATATATTTATTTACATACATCAAAGATCAAAGATTGGCTTTTGAACACTAGTTACCTCAATTAAATAGACAACACCTTTTGAACACTAGTTACCTCACTTAAGGTCTTAACAGATATATTTATTTACATACATCAAAGATCAAAGATTGGCTTTTGAACACTAGTTACCTCAATTAAATAGACAACACCTTTTGAACACTAGTTACCTCACTTAAGGTCTTAACAGATATATTTATTTACATACATCAAAGATCAAAGATTGGCTTTTGAACACTAGTTACCTCAATTAAATAGACAACACCTTTTGAACACTAGTTACCTCACTTAAGGTCTTAACAGATATATTTATTTACATACATCAAAGATCAAAGATTGGCTTTTGAACACTAGTTACCTCAATTAAATAGACAACACCTTTTGAACACTAGTTACCTCACTTAAGGTCTTAACAGATATATTTATTTACATGACAATGCAGGGATGATTGGCTTGAAACATCAAAGATCCCCCAATCCTTTGTTTCACAAATGACTTGTAATGAGCTTCAATGGAAATAATGTGCAGCAATGCCCATCTAAATGTGCATTAACTTACATGGATTAAATTACCTGCGTTTATATTGTTTATTTGATTTTCACCGGCAATTATTTAACTGCTAATCAGACACCGCTGTCAGTTGTACTTCTGAAAATTTCAGTCTTTCTCCTGAATTCTCATCTGATAAAAAATGGTGACAATTTCAGTCATAGATACTATCATATAGTGTTACCAACTCTTCTATAACATAAAGCATCACATTAACAACAAAGCCAAGAATATTAAATGTGTAGAAGCATAATCTAGTATAATTAACTTCAAATGGAAAGAATATTATTTCGCATCTATAATTTGCGATGTAGACGTGAGTACTGTAAAATCCATATATTTTTTCTATCACACATGGCCTCTATGCTGGAGGCAGAGTTGTCAAACCTGACAGTTGGCATTACAATAGATAAATAGAAAGAAATTTGCTTATAGAAATTTTTATTGAAGGATTCATAGTAGAAGACCTTGAGAAATTTTTATTGAAGGATTCTGTTGAAAAATGTTTTGTACTTGGAAAAACTATTTAAACAAATCAGTCATTTCTAAGGCTTTGAAACAGCAGAAAAAGGCAGAAAAATAACTTATATCTAGTCATTAACTAGAAATAAGCCATCAACCAATTCATTGTATTCCTCAGCATATACTTCTGAAGCCATGAACTCTGGTGTCCCTAATTAACCTCAAAAAATAGATAAAAACTAACTCAATGATTTCCCTTAATTATGTCAATCAACCAATCACTCACACAGAAAGTTACATATCATCACAAAGTCATGTTACAACAGATACGTACTGTTTCATGGTACGTACACTATGAGTTTGTGGTAGTGAATACGAGATTATGTCGGATTAACAATAAAGTTCGAATTAGAAGTAATGAAAGCACTTTTAAATCAAAATAACAAATTTTCAATCATATAGCCACTATTGTATTGGGTCCATTCAACATTGGAAATGCAACAAATTTTCAATTCATAAACCAATAACAATCTGTAGCAATTTTCCAGTATTGATCACAGGGTTCAGAATTTCACCAATATAACGATAAACAACAATTCCATTTCTACCCATCAAATCCTAGAACCAAAATAAGTTGTAAAAAAAGAAGAACAGGCAGAATTTTCTTAATGTCAGCTTCTTCCAACCAGAACAATCTCCATGAAAGTACGAACAATCCAATTTTAGCTGTACAAACCCAAAACTTCAAATCTATCTCAGGTTGTCTAGAAAATCACCACATTTCAATCCAGATTGAAGGCATGCCAAAAAACAGTAAGCAGCCTCTTCAGCTGGACCCAGATGAACTTTATACATAATTGATTAAATAATTGAATACAGATTAATCCAAAAGTTTTAGAGAAACTTCAGTGTTATACTACAATGCTCAACTGAATCCAAATTACCAAATTACATTGCCTCTACAAGCAGTAAAATTCGAAAGAAATAGAGCGAGCGAGCAAGAGAGAGAGAGAGAGAGAGAGGGTTTTTAGAGAGAGAGAGAGGTTTTTTGAGAGGTTTTTTATCCTCTAGCTCCATCACCTTACGTACTGATATTTATTGATACGTAATCAATGACGCTGTGATTTTAAACATTGTTTAGATTTAATCTATACTTGAGTCATAATCATTTTTGTGACTCATATCTCATTATTTTTATATAAACACCACACATATACTTCTAAAATAAAACTCAAAATAAATTTTAATCCTTAGCATTTTTAGAGTGGCTCCTCGGGGAGAAGAGTCTACCAAAGTGGAACACATTGACTAAATAATTTATTAGATGAGCAAATTCAAAGCATTCTCCAATGTTAGCTGTAACATACCAACATCGCAACTTGTATTGTCCTCAAAAAGTATGATGTGATGTATTTTTTTTATATGCAAATTTAATTAAATATAAAAAAATAAATCATATTAAAATAATTTAAATTCAAACTCTGATTACTATGTTCATTTTCTTTTGATTAGTTTTAATTCAAATAATTTTATATTAGACAATTGACATGTTCAACAAATTCTAAAATTACTATGTCCCTTTCACTCCTCCATAATTATGTGAATCATAATCACCATAATTCTCCAGATTTCAGAAATTCAAGTAAAATGTAGAGGGGGAAAAAAAAATCACAACCACCAAAAAGAAAATCAAGTGATTGCTTTGATCAAAACGAAATCACACACATATTTTATACATCATATAATTCATAAATAGACAAATTAAATTGTATGTCTATATGCAGATCTAAAAAGCAAAGAAAGAAAAAATCAAATAGAGACAAACTGAAGTGAATCATCGATCATCACCTAATAGTGATTTGAACAGAACAATAAGTAAAACTAGAAACGAAGAAGAAAATGATTTAAGCAAAAAGTGAAAACAGAGCACAGAAGAAGAGATTCACGGAGCTGAAGAAACATCTAAGAAAGAAACATCTAAGAAGACGAAGATTTCCGAACAGAGCACAGAAGAAACATCTAACCTCTGATCGAAGAAGACGAAGATCACGGATCTGAAGAAGAGTTCCAAATCACGGTGCTCAAAATCGAACTTCGAAATCGCAATCGCTCTGTGCTCAAGAAGAAGAATCACCGAGTTGAAGAAGAATCACCGAATCGAGAGAGAGAACTTCATATTGATTCGATCCTCTGAGAGAAAGAGAGAGATGAGGAAGAGATTCGAATATGTAGACGGCGGTGCTCAAAATAGGGTTTGAAGATAAAGGTTTGGAGAGACAGGATAGGGCTTGAGGAGAGACGGATTTGGAGGCGCTTTTCAAACGTCTTCTGATCACAAAACGGCACCGTTTTAATTAATAACAATTGTGACGTTTAAAAAACGTCGTTAATTTTAAAAAAAAAGTGACGTTTAATAAAACGCCATTAATTAAACGCCGTTAAATCTCCAAATTCCTGTAGTGGCATCTATATAAATAGTGATGTAAAACGGTGATTAAAAAAAAAAAAGTAATATATATAATTTGTAAATAAAAAAATGTATATATATATCAATCAAATGAAATCTATTTTTTTTGTTGTCTAATTATGCATAAATATGTATAACTAATTTGATTTCAATAATATGTTTTTATTGACAAATTTAAAATTCAAACATAATTTTAGAGAAAGGAGTCTGCCACTTTTACGCAAGAGGATTTTTTTTTTTATCGGCAAAGAAAAATTTCATTAAAAATATGAAATTACAGGTACAAGGAAATAAAACGCATTGAGAGAGATTCGAAGAGTAAATACTCACTCTCCTACTATTGTTGTTCGCGGTCTTACAACCAACCCCTAAGCCTTACGATTTTAAATTTTAAAAGACAACTAAAAAATAAAATAAACCACACTTGAGCCCCCACTTTTACGCAAGAGAATTGTTGGAGCAATAAATCTATAATGACTATATTTATTTACTCATATTTTGTTTAACCTAATTTCTTTTTGGTTAAAAGGTAAAAATAAGTAAATAAATAAATAAAAACATTTTTCGTATCATATACTAACAAAGTATTGCCATGTGGCAATGGATGGGAAAATGAGAAGAAATCATTTTCTTACACATAAGAAAAAAAAGAATAATTGGCCATAAAATTTGACAAGTGTATGTCTCCATGACGAGGAATATATATAAAGAAAAGAAAATGGAACCCCACAAAACAAAACTAAAGAAAAATACTTAAAAGCCTATCTTTGGAGAATCTATTGCAGCCAACAAATGTTTAACAAGTCTCTCTCTAGCTTCTTAACTAATAGTTGCCCAGATGCAATTAATGTCTAGGACTCTTTTTCTTTTCATACTTTATAATATAAACCAATTATAATATGCTGTTTCTACTACTTTTGAAAGTGATGTTAATATTTAGGGCATGTTTGGTAATTATTTTATTTTTAATTTTTAATTTATATTTATAAAAATTTAAAAAATTATTATAAAAATTTATTTGATATGTTTTTTTATTTATAAATAATTGTCTCAGTTTATAAATTTGAGAAAAAAACTTAAATTTAAAAAATGAGTTTACGTTGATTTTTAAATAGAAATTTAAAATTTTGACTAATTATTTTTTTTTCAATTATGATGTGCATGATCCCATTATCATAAATAATAAAAAATAAATACAAATATTTTAGACCAGAATAAATATATTTTTTAATTTATGTTTTTAAAAATTTTCAAATATTTTGTTCGAACCAAATGCGTTTGCAGTTTATGTTTTTCTAAAAATAAACAAAACCAATTATAAAATTTTTGTAAACATAAATAAAAAAACGTAAACGTTATCAAATGCTACCTTAGGATTTGTAGTTCATGTAACTGTCTTTTGGTACAATGAAAATTAAATATTCAATGTTTATAATTTTTAAAATTTTGAAATTTGAAATTTCTTTTAAAAAAAATTTAGGGGTATAATCAATCGTGGAACATAAGTTTTGAGTGTCTAGGTGTTCGACAAGTTGGTTTGTGGCTAAAATAGTCACAAAAGACAAAATAGGCTATTTTAGTCACAATAAATAAAACATCACATTCAACCCATAATCATTACACTCTTCTCTTACAAAAAAAATCAAAAAAGTCAAAAAGTCCTTCACAAACCAAGCTTTTTAGCCCAGGCTAAAATAGCGAAAAAAATTAAAAAGCCAACCCACTTCCCAAATGGAGGCTAAGTTATAAAACGCAATTTATATTTAAATAGATAATTTGGCTGACAATTGTTCTTTGACATGAAATCAAACCAAATTAAGTTTCATCAAATAGGATTGGTTGTATGAATCTTTTTTCTCCACTCGACTTTATCCAAGGCCATTTCATTAGTCAAATTAAGGAAATTCATATCTCTATTTACTACACTAGTTCACATCAATGTAGGTCTATCTCTTTCCTTAACACTACCATCTATTCTCATTGTATCGCATCTCTTCACTGTTATCTTTATTGATCTCCATTGTATATGATCAAACCATCTCAATCTATTCTCTTTCAATTTATCTTTTATCAGTATTATTTCTACCTATTTTCGAATATACTCATTCATAACTCTGTCTTTACTAATCTAGCCACATATCTACTTTAGCATCATTATCTCAGCAACACTCATCTTATATACATGTTGTTTCTTAGTTGCTCAACATTCTGTCCCATACAATATCGCTAATCTAGTAGTCATTCTATATAACTTCCATTTTAGTCTAATAGGTACTCATTTATCATACAATATTCTAGACGCACTCTTCCACTTAAGTTACCCCGCCTTAATTATGTGGACCACATTTGCTCCAATCTCCTAGTCGTTGAGATAATTGATCCAAAATAATGAAAATGTCCACTTTTAGGTAGTTCTGGGTTCTTAGTTTTCACTTATCCTCTACTTTTATTGGGACTGTTACTAAAATTACACTCCATATACTCTGTCTTAGTTTTGTTTATCCTAAATCCTTTAAATTCAAGTGATATTCTCCGAATCTCTAACTTAGTATTAACTCCTTCTTTAGTATCATCTATTAACACGAGATCATTTGCAAAAAACATACATCGTGGCACATCATCTTGAATATTGCGCGTCAACTCATCCATAACTAAAACGAAAAGATAATGACGTAAAGTTGATCCTGGGAGTAACCCTACAGTAATTGAAAATTTACTCAACTCTCCAGTAAGCAATCTAATAGTGGTTACCACACCTTCATACATATTCCTAATTGCATCAATGTAACCTTTTGTCATCCCTTTCTTCTCTAACACCCATCTGATTATTTCTCGATGCATTCTACCATATACTTTCTCAAGATCAATAAAAATAATACAAATATCTATTTTCTTTTCTCTATACTTTTCTATTACTCTCCTCAAAAGATTGATCGCTTCTATTGTTGACCT